TCTGTGGCTTTCGAAGCTAGAACAGCAGTAGGAGCACGAGCATCGCTGTTCGTTTTATTTTAGTGGTTCTGCACGTGAAAGTACGCACAATCAAGAAGTGTTGTTTTCCTGAGCGTCCCCCGGCGACACAAACCGGCGGACGACAAGAACCGCCGTTTGTGGGGTAAAATTNATATTAAGCGAAGTGCTACATATATGCTTGGACACGTTTTCATTTCCGTCTGTGGCTTTCGAAGCTAGAACAGCAGTAGGAGCACGAGCATCGCTGTTCGTTTTATTTTAGTGGTTCTGCACGTGAAAGTACGCACAATCAAGAAGTGTCGTTTTCCTGAGCGTCCTCCGCACGGGGCGACACAAACCGGCGGACGACAAGAACCGCCGTTTGTGGGGTAAAATTGTTGATGGGGAGATGGCAGTGATCAAGCACATAGAATGTGTCACCGCCTCACCACAACGACCGTCCCCTGCGTCACGCCCCGCCAACAGGATGTCTTCACCAGGTACAAGGATGACCCAGGGTACTGCGTGGCGAAAAGGGTCAGGAACCAGGTGTACTACGCCACCGCCAAAGACCTTGGATGCTTCGGAAGGGGTAACCAGTTGAAAGCGGGGGAGTGCATGCGCGCGGCTACCAAGGTCTTCGCTGGCGATGGTAACGACGGACTCCCGACGGAAGTAGTCAAGGCCATGCTGTAGTACTGAACAGTGTGCTCGCGACGGATGCAGCGGTGCTCGCACCAGTTTTCCGTTATTATGCCTACCCTAGGGAGGGAGGGGGGCTTGGGGATATTTCCTAGGGAGGGAGGGGGGCTTGGGGATATTTACATGCGCGAGTGCGCCCAGGAAAGGAGCGGCGGGGAGGGGGGTCTGCTATAATAGTGGTTCTATCTTCGGCTCTCGCGTTTTTTCTTTTTTTCTTTTTTTTGTTCGTGTGTTGCTGTCCTTCCTGTCGCGTGAGGACTCTTGGACCGTTGGGGCGTGGGGCACGTGGGCGCCGTGCGTTTCGCGGCTCCCGTTATGTCGACGTTTTTGTGCGGATGAAGGGTTACTTTTTTTTGGGCAGTGGGTCTGGTTTTTATATCGTCGGATAGACATTCCATCGTCGTCATACCCGCGTTTCCATCGGGGTATGTATGGGGTACCATTCAATACAAGGGCAGGATTTCATGCGACCCCAGTTTGTCCCTTGCGTCCCACGAAGGGTTGTGTACTGTGTGACCATCTGTCCTTCAACGGTGATAATGAAGTACCGATTATCCAAGGGAAAACGGGAAGAAGTTAGCCTGCTGTCGTGTGTTGCACTCCTCGGGGAGGCCGCACGCCGTGGGCCGCCGCCGTGCGAGCATTGCTCCCATTTTTTTTTTTTTAATAATTACTTCATATTGTTTTTTCTCCGGAAAAACCCTGTGTACCACGACGTGCCATTTCCGATGCACACGTACATTGGAAAAAACCCCACAACATCAGCTCAACATTAGCTGCCCGGAGTGTGCAAACGAAAAATCCCTCCGAAAAAATCCTCCGGTTGGGTACCCGTCCGGAAGAATAGAAGAAAATACACATTCCTTTTAACTGTCGGTATCTTCTTCACCGGCATCGTGCTCGCTCGAACTTTCGTCGCTGGCACTGCCGTCTTCGCTCGTACTGTCATCGCTGGTTGTCGAGGTGTGGCCACCCTCTTCGCGAATTTTTTTCTAGATCGCAAGGCAGATTTTGGGACCCTTTCGCTCGTGCTTGTTGGAGAGGAGGAAATCGCGTCTCACGCCAGCGGACAAGCACGCTGCACACACCCCTACCTCCCTCCTGCCTCCTCCTGCTCCCCCCGTCCTAATCTCCGACGCCAGCTCCGCGTTGTTGTCCGTGTTGCTGCCTGCGGAGGTGTGATCCGGCATCAACGCGAAATTTGTTGCTGCCTTGCCCTTTTTGCTGGGGTTGCCCGTCCCCTTGCTGTTGCCCCGCCTTTGGCGAGATGCCTTCGCCCGTGCCGCCGAAGAACGCCCCCCCTGGTCGTCGTCATCCTCGCTGTCGCTGTCCTTCTCCCGGGTGATTGCGTCGAGTCGCGCCCGCGCAGCCTCCTTAGAGACGAGAGCGGCACCAGGTGTGGGGAGGTATTGGGGACCGGTCTTCGTGTGGACACGGCACACACACACACAGAGAGAGAGAGAGAGAGAGAGAGAGAGAGAGAGAGAGAACAAGAGCATACAAGCTTGGACCGTGCGACAAATCACATGGACGATTACCTTGACGCCAAGATCGTTGTCCTTCATGAGGTCATTGATTCTCCCCTCGTGCTTTGCCAGGAAGTGCTCGTGGATGGGGATCCTCATCGTCCCCCGGCCTTCCTCGTTCCTGATCTCCTCCCGGTGCGCCTTGAACTCTCTATCGTTGACTATGTTGACGGCTCGTACAATGTCTCGGAGATGCCGGTTTAAGGTTCTTCTTGACGCCGTCTGAACGTCTCCGAGTGCACAAGCATTGGAGAACTGCTCGACAATCCCACCCGCTAGCACTACACCGAGAGCTACCGACAAAGAGTCAGGCTTGTCGAGGCTCACGTGCCCAAACTTTGCACCACACTCCCGACATGCGGCAGAAAATTTATCAGTGTTCGACCTCGTGGTTTCCACGACAGGGCATATCACAGGCCCCGGGCACCCGTTCGATATTTTGTGGACGGTGCCCATCACCTTACACAACCTCTCTCCCGATACCATAAGACCCCGATGGTTCCAATATCCTTCCTCTTTGGGTTTGGGTTGCCGATACGGGCGATCTCGACAGGTTTGTTCGAGGGAACTATTCAACGCATTGGGGGGGGGTCGAAAGGGCACAGTGGACACGACGGGGGAAATGGGAGGGGGGAGGGGGGGAGCGAGTGGTGACAAATGTGATCGGCTGGACTTGGAAGGAGTTCGACTTCGGCACAATCTTCTGCAAACTGTACGAGCTCAAACACTTACGACTAGCCACATACCTGCGCCCACTCCCTCCCGACCTCGTCGTGCTTCCTATCTGCAGGGGAGGTTCCGAAATAAGCCCCCATACCACCGCACTCGTGCTTGTTCCAGAGCGCCGTCGTGGCGTCTGGTGTGTCCTTCCCTCCGGCGCGGCGCCTCCCTCTCCGCACGCCTCGGCGCTCGCCGGTTTCCGCTTCGCCCTTGACTTGGGACTTATGTCATCTGTAACCCACATGCTTCCCTCCCCACCCGAGACATCGGTCCTCTTACGTTTCATCACAGTAGCCTTTTCTTTTACCGGGCATGTGTGCCCTATCGCTTCCACGACAATGTCCGACAAACTCCACGCCTCTCCGGTCTCTCCTCGCGTTGGCAACGGCTCGCCTACGTGAATTGCTCCACATTGACAACGGAACTGAATTCCGACCTCGGCAACCTCGCCCGGGTTGAGAAGGGGAAACACCACAGACTCGAGCCGGANAGGAAACATCACAGACTCGAGCCGGACGTACGTCCACCCCCCTACCGGCGCACTAGCTCCGCAACGGCGACATTTAGTTTTGCCGTGAACATCCGACACCAACGCCACGGAACCCAAGTAAAACTTCGTGAGGTTCACGGATCCCTTCGTGGCCACCAAGCCGTTGGACCGCAGGTCCGTCCCGCCACTAT